CCCTTGTGTGCTTTGTTTGCATGTGTTGTTGGCTTAACACTTTGGCATGTTTTTCTACCTTCTTGAGGCTCTATCTTAGCATGTTTTAGGCCTTATTCTAACATGATATAACTCTGTTTTGGGTTAGTTTGGTTTCTTCTTACATGCTTCATGTACTTGTAGTGCAATCCTCTTAGTTAGCCTAACATGCTCTATGCTTTGGACCACCATTTTAGCATGTTTTTGGCTCCACTCCAGCAGGCTTTTACTCATATTTTGGCATGCCTTAGCTCTGATTTTGGTCGACAAGGTCACCTCTTGCATGGTTTATGCACTTGTAGTGCAAGCTTGTTCACTAGCCTAGCTTGTTTGGTATTTTAGCCTATTGATCTAACATGTGTATGCTTTACTCCAGTACATTTTTGGCTTTGATTTAACATGCTTTAGGTGCTATAGTGCATTTGGCTTTGCTAGCCTTAAGCTTTGAGACCTCTAGCATGTCATATTTGAGCTTTTTGCATGGCATGGCATCATTTGGCATGTTATTTTGGACCATATACCTCTTCCATTCGCATTTATCATCCCTTTGCTGTGTTTGAGGGTTGAGCCTTATGCTTCACTTATGAGCCAATATGTATGCATGCTTGTCTAAGCTTTTGGGGCTACCATCTCAGCATGTTTTTGGTGTTATTTTACCATGTTACAACTTTGATTTTTGTTGGTGAAGTCACCTCATGCTTAGTTTTGGTATGTGTAGTGTAATCCCACTCATTGGCCTTGCATGTGTCATGCTTTATGCCTCTCATTCTAACAAGTGTTAGCTCTACTCCATGCATGGTTTGGCGTTGTTTTGACCTGCCTTGGGACTATTTTGAGTCATCTTGGCCCTTTGGGGCTTGCTTGATATGGCTATGGTGCAAGTACCTTAGTTAGTCTTGAGTTTTGAGCACCCTACTATTCTATATTTGTGATGGTTGCTTGTTTGGGCATCGTTTAACATGTTATTTCAAATCATGTACGTGTGTCATGTTCTCACTTCTTTCATTCCTTGAGAGCTTTTGAGAGTTGTGCCTTTGTGCATTGTTAATGAGCCATCAAATGAGCATGTTCTCCTTGTGTTATATGCCTTAATGTTAACATATTTCAGCCGCTGTTTTGGCATGTTTGACCTCGGTCCGGGGTTGGTTTGACCATTTGAGATTGATAGTGCATGCCTCATGTGTAATATGTTTCATTAGCTTTGATTCCTTAGCCTTTATACATGCCACGCATGCATTGCTTACATGATAGAGTCTTGCGCATGTCACTTTAGCATTGAAGGTTGATCCTCTTGTTTGCATTGCTTGTGTTTGGATTGGTCGTTAATCCAAACACGAGGAATGTCGCACGTTTCATACTTACAGTGATGAAACGTGTAGCATTTCTTGGTCGCCGACCCTCTTGATCAAGCATGATAGAGGTGGAGGCCCTTATGTGTTACTTGTGCATTCATTGACATTGACTTGTACAAACTTGGCTTCTCGGCCATTGTGCGTTGCGATGCTCGGTTGGTGGCCCGAGAGTCAAGTACCGCACTCTCTTGAGCTTGAGAAATGATAGGGAGGATGGTTGTGCACACATATCTTGCAAATACACTGCTATGCCCCATGTTGTTCTCTGTTGCAGCAAAACTGGAGCTTGGAAAATTAACTAGTTGGCCGACCAGTAGGGGTGGTCGACCGGCCACTTTTTCTGGTCTACAGCCCCCTTTTCTGGTCGGCAGCCCACCAGGAGGTCCCCATGTTGGAGCAGAAGCAATCTGGAAGTTAGTGCACTTTTCAGAGATCAAATCAAATGCAAACAGAGGCAATTATGGGCATAACAATGGATTTTCGAGCGAGGCGATCGAGCATGCATGCACCCCTCACCCCGAGGACCTCTTTTATCTGCTTTAGCTGCTTTACTTAGTTAGCTAATTCGTCGGTTTTGTACTTAATTAGTTAATGCGCTTAATTAATCGATATGTTTTGTAATAATTAGTTAACTATGAATAGTTAATTTGTTTTGGTTTGTAATAATTAGTTTAATTAGCGTAGCTAATTAGCGTAGCTAGTTAGCTTATTATTCGGACCCTCCGTCAAGAGGGAAAATGTTGTAATAAGGGTGCGTGTGTGTGATGCATGCCTTCCAACCCCACGTCTTTCTCCCTTTTATTTATCAGCTTTTGATGGTTAGTTTTAGGGCATGTTTCAATTAGCATACTTATGTTTGCATGCGTGTATCATTCATTCGTATTGCATGCACCCATATTTTTGGCCCCTCTTCAATATTGTAGAAGGCCCCTAATCTGTTTGGGGTCGGTAGCTGTGAGTTGCTTCTTTACCTCATGTTTAGGGCCATTTTTGCATGCTAGTTTTTCCATATTTGTGCTTACTATTTGGCCATGTTTTGAACTGTAAAAGTGCTTGTCTAGGGGCTTCCTTGCTTCTATCTTTTCATCTCATGTACAAATTATGCATGCATTGCATAGCTATAGGCCATTTCATGCGCCAAAATTCATGTTTCGGGACTCGTTCCATGCATCGGATGTCATTTCGCCTTGTTCGGGGCTGTTTCCCCCTCGTTTTGCTACTGATTTTTTCATGTTTGCATATCATATTACATGTCTTTGCCATGTCTCATTAGAGTGGCATTTCGGTGTCTGAGGGTCGGTCCTCGGTTTGCGTGCACGCGTGCACGCATTTCGAGTTGTCTTATTTTCATCTGATGGCCTCCTATGTGAGTGTGGCTGAGGCTCTCTCATGTTGGTGTAAGCCTATTATCGCATTGCGTATGCCATTTCATTCATAGGGGAGGGAGAGGTCCCGTAGACCATCTCTCAGGGGCCATGAGCTACATTTTGTGGCCGTAGGCCATTTTTCCCATTTCGGAGCCCGGTTTTCAGTTTTCCGGGACCGTCAGGCTGTGTGCCTCGGTTCGGGACCGCCTAACCATCTCCGATTGCTCCGATTTTTGGCATACTTCCTATTTTCTCCCTTTTGAGGGACACTGGGGTCTGAGAAACCCACTTCGTGG